ACGTGAATTAGAATATTATGGTTTAAAGTAAATACGCGAGGACGTGTGATTTGTCAGGAAGGCCGCGTCGGAGCGCTTATGCTTGTGTATGTACATATACAGTTATTTTTTTTATCTTTTTATTACTTTAGGATCATCTGTAATCTGTAATTTGTAATGTAATTACAAAAATATCTTATTTTTTTTAAGAACTGTTCAGAAATCTGAACAGTGGGCATAGAAGGCATCTTTGGTAGAACAGTCGGAAAAATCAGCCTTCATAGCTAAACCTCTCCAAATGAGTTGAGAGCGATCGATATCGTAGACGCCCTGTGTAGAGGTCTGTTGTACTGGATTCCAGCATAAGAAAATTCATGAAGCTACTTGGCTGTCTCCGGACCGAAAAGTTTGTAACCTGACCGATCATATTGTGATGGATGTTGACACGTTTCCAGTGTTCTTGACGTGCGTGCGCTCCGAAGATCTAACATCGACTCGGAGCACTATCTTGTTCGTCAACAAACGACGTCGAGAAGCTACTATTACAATCGACAGTGAAATCGATACCGAGAGTTGAAGAGGGAAGCGAGACGCATACGCAAAAACAAAAACAAAAATGGCCAAACTGCATGAGTACGTAACGCTCGAAAATTCTAAGAAAAGATGCGGTGACTATCGAAAGATTTCGAGACCGCAGAATAATCTTGTCGAACCTAAAGGGGTGATCTAATGGCTGAAATTCAGAACATACTAAAGTTATGGAAGGAACACTTCTCCAGCCTCCTGAACGGCAATGAAAGTATAACATCTGGAGATGGCGAACCCGATTCCCCAATCGATGACGGTGGAATAATTACCCGCTGGGGGAACAACAAAGCGGCAGTAGCCGATGGATTACCAGCCGAGCTATTCGAAAACGGCGGCGAAGAACTCACAAGGTGCACAAAAGTGTGCCCTGTCCAATCCATAAAAAAACCTCCTTAATATCGCATATAAAGTCTTCTCGAGAATTGTGTGTGAAAGACTCAAGCCCCCCTTAACAAACTTATTGGATCTTATCAAAATGGAAAATGTACTATCGACCAGATTTCTACCATTCACCAAATCTTGGAAGAGATGAACGATGAGCTAGACGACATACATATATGGAGACATTTACGTAACTCAGCAAATCAAGAGACACTCCAGCTTTAAAAGTTTTCGATTCAGTCCTCGCCGGTGAAAGCAGAGGAAGAGGAAGACCTCTACTCAGATGGAGAAGGACCGATTACTGTCGTCTTAATGAAAAGGTGATGAATGACAATTTTCCACGCCGCTTATCGACGATGTCATCGATAGATTGCAGTGCTTGCGTGTTGACGACTCTTAACATAAGAAGTGGATTCTTTCACGTGTTCTTTATATCGAGAAAATACTTCGTTGATGAACCTCCAAAGCCAATATGAATTCTTTTATGTTCCATTTGGAATCTTCAACTTTCCAGCCGTATTTACATACAGTACATTACAGTGTTCAGAGACTTTGTTAGTGACGGTGCTCGGTGGTCACTTACATGGACGATCTTACTGTTCAAAGTATTTACTGTACAAAGGATTTAGAGTAGGACACAACGAAGCTAGAAGTAATTCTGGAAAGGATGGCACAGTTCAATTTACAGATAAAATGGGAAAAGTCTCAGTTCTTGCAAACTAAAGTAGTATTTTTGGACTGCATTATTGAAAATGGTACAATTAGATCTTCGAAAGCAAGGGCGAAGTGGTGAAAGGTTTTCCTGTGCCCACCGATAAGAAGGTTTCTCGGTCTAACCTCTCATTTCCCTCGATTTATCCAAGGGAACGCAGTGTTCACTAAATCACTATCTGATCTTTTACGAAAATATACAAAGTTGTTTTGACAGAAAATAAACAAGCAAATTAAGACTGGTTTAAGCAGTGCGCCAGTTATAAAATTTCATAATCCTATGGCATTAATCGAAGTTCATACTGACGCTTCTATGTTCGGGTACGGTGGAGTTCTTCTACAGAAAGATAGTCAGGACAACTACGTTCATCCAATCCAATATATGAGGAGGAAAACCAGCCGGTCGAAGAGAAATACCACTCTTAAGAATTGGCGGTGTGGGCCCTAGTGGAGGCACTTAAGGCCGTCACTGACAGAATGAAGTTCCAGTTAGGGTATCTCGTTGGACGATGATATTGCAAGATTATGATCATGAAGTCGAACATCGCTGTAGTTAAAGAATGCGGCACGTGGGCTCGTTGAGTGGGGTGCAATGTCTGTTGTTAGAAGATGTGTTGATACATGGGTCGAGGAAGGTTTAGCAGCAGGACAGTATATCATATATGATCTACGTTCTCTGTGGGATTGTTATGATAAATAGCAACCCTGAACCAACATTTTAAATTATCAATTGTTATTACAAATTATATAACAGAGCTATGTATTTTATGTAAAACAACTTCAGGTTTGTTAGAGCTTTGAATAATTTTAGCGAGAGCGACAACTGAGAGCCTGCAGTCGTGTAGTCGTGCAGCTGTCTAAATAACTGTGTCGTTAAGAACGTGGGTATTTTAATATTTGACAGATGTCGATAGCGACATGCTAGCAGTCTGTCGAGCTTTATGTGTTCAGCACATTAGCCGACGGGAAAGCGACCGTACCAGAGGAAGATATCAATTTAAACCAGCAATTTGTTAAATTAATAAATAATCTAAAAAAAGCTTGTTTTTTGTGTAATGAAAACTCAAAGGCCACATACATACATATAAATAAATAAAAATAAATTAAAAATAGCACAGAAGTTCTCTCTCAAATTCTCATAATATACAAAAAACAAACGTCCAGCAGATTATTGCAATATTTACTGAACGAAGCAGTTACACAGGAAACAAAACACAAAATATATTAACCTTGCGATTCTCTACTCTCATACAGTCTCAAGTCTCTAAATTTGAGATTTACCGTGCGATTCTGTACTGTGATACAGTATCAAGTCTCTAAATTTGACAGAGACAATTTTTGTGACTTGAGACAATTTTGCTATCCTGTCACAAAATCTATTACATTTCATTATGCATGGTATGGTTTTATAATTGAATGAAAATAACCGTGCGATTCTGTACTGTGAT